TTACATGAATCTAATGAAAACTCATTTTTCGAAAATTTGTAAAAATGGGCCCTTTTAATAGATGACACTCCATATAATCTCTAATCATACAACGGTTATTCTTATAGAAGTTTAAAGTTTTATACAATCTTATCTTAGATACTTTTTATATTGTCTTTCACACTTATCCTGTATTAAAAATTGTATAAAAATAAAAAAAAAGATAGTTAATTTATATTATTACTTAAGTTTTTTAAGCTTTTAAAGGTTTTTTTTTATAAACATATAAGAAAAAGATATTATAAATTAACTTTCAAACCCACGTTACCTTTACTAGATTGTTGCTTTTACTTTTTTTTTGGTTTTTATTGCTCAATGTTTAGGAATTGTAGTTCGGCATTTCTCAAAATACTTAGTTACATATTTATCTTTGCAAGGTAAATTGTTATATAAAAGCTATAGGATTCACTGGGATTCAACTGATATTATTAAAATACTGTACGAAGCCCTCAAGTTTTACAAAGCGCTACTTCGTGTTTCAAAGTGGGGTAAGTAACGTGAGCTTTTTGAAAAAGTACTTTAAAACAATATAAAAAGTTTTTTATGAATTGTGTAACAGATCTACAAATGATGTGACGGTTCCCCCTGTTCAATGCTATACATTTCCTAGTGCAGTAGTGGTAGCTTAAATTGATCATGCAATTTATCAATGACAAATATTGTAATTTTTGTATCAATACGTAATAGTTTTTAGTAATTTAAATTATTTTTGCATTTATCGCGGTTTTTCGAAATGGCTGAAAATTGCAAATAAAGTTTTTTTTTTTGACAAACACTCTTTAGCACGTTGATTGAAGATCGATCCCGATTTTGTAAATTATTTATCAAACAATAGTCATGCAGATTAGTCTTCAATCAACGTGCTAAAGTGTTCGAAAAAAATTTTATTTGCTATTTCAACCATTTCGAAAACCGCGATAATATAATTAAGTTTGCAACGCTAGTAAATATAGAAAAAATATTTGGTTATCTTAAACAGATAACTGAAAATTTAATATATATCGATATTTGTTTATTATTAACTTTTAATAAAAATCAATCAGAGCAAGGCCAATATTTCTACATTATGTAGTTATGTCGTATCTAGATGTATAAAGTTAAACTGACTAAAATTAAGCCCCTGAAATTAGATCTTCATACATATAATTCCTATCAACATGAATGGGTTGATATAGACGAGGGTAGACTGTATATACTGTAATTCAAACAAAAAGGAAATAATTTTTTGTCGTCACAATTAAAGTACAGTCAGGCAGGCCCTCTTAAATGCAACCCCTAATGCACGTCTTATGAAAAGCTTCCCTAGATGCAGTGCACGTCCTATGAAAAGCCTCCCTAAATGCAGTGCACGTCCTATGAAAAGCCTCCCTAAATGCACGTCTTCTCTTGGGCTCAACTAATATTACGCCTATTAGAGTGTCCAGGGTACTGCGGTGCATAATTCTGCTCACGCTAAAAATACTTTCTTACATTATAATTTGATTAGAAAGTGATTTAAATCATGGGTCCCTTACGGGAACAATATAAAAAATTATTTTTAGCGTGAGCAGAATTATGCACCGCAGTACCCTGGACACTCTAACGCCTATAGATTTTTACCTCCTTAAATGCAATACCTCTCTAAGTGCACTTTTGGCTAAATTTTTACATATTTGCTTAAACTTAAATCTTGACAAAGCTTTGATATTAGTAAGTGTTGTTGAAAATAATAATTTAAAACTTTAAACGTAATAAAATCCGAATACATAAAATTTTATTTACATTTTGAACCTTAATCACAGCTGCAATTCTTAACCCAGTAATTATACAAAACTTAAATTTATTGCAAACAAAAAAAAATGTGTCTAAATTTCATTTAGTTTTAGCTATCCAAGAAACATACGATTTGACAATAGGTGATGCTTAATGTAAAGAATCAATTTTTTTTAAATAAATTACGACGCAAACAGTTGAATGTCGCGTCACTATACACTAGAGATGTAGATAAATCTAGCATACATTTCACATATCACGTAAATTCGCGCGAGTCATATGATAGGAATTCATTTTAAATTATATGTTAGAAATTTTTATTAAAATTTCTTGATCAAATAGCTTACCTCGCGTGAGATATGATGCCGTCACGCGAGATCGCGTGCACGATCTCGCATGAGGTATATCTCTATTATACACACTGTTACACCCTTTAAAAATTTTGCTAATATATACGTGAGAACTTGCTATTTCAGTGAATTGATTTAGGGGGAAAGAAGAGATACAGTTTGATAAGCTTTTTACAAGATTAATTTTGGGTAAGTACATAGCGAAAAGGCGTCTAGAAAGGTTATATATTATATTCCAAAGTGAATACTTTATTGTTATTCGTAGACATATTTGTACGAAGTTAAAAATGAGTAATACAGTATATTGATATATAAAATTAAGTGATACGTATACAAAAAACCTTCATATTTAAAGATGGCTATATTTGATTGTGCGCACCATATATGAAATTAAACAGTATATAGACTATATTTTTACTGAAAAAGAAAACAAGAAACATTATTAAATTTATTTCATAAATGCAACTTTAAATATAATTAATTAAACATTCTAAAGTTAAACATTGTTCTATTTATTCTGTAAAACATTTAAAACATTTATAAAAAGTTTTTTGTGATTAATATATGTTTTTTTGATATTAACAGCATTATAAATAAATTATTTAAATACTCATTATATTTACCTTCAAAAATGATTACAATCTTGTTTCTGTATGCACTATAGCAGGGATAAGTATTTTTCGCTTTTTTTCATCATCCAAGTCAATACCTATTAACGGAAATGAGCAAATCTGTACCAAATCATGACAATCCGAATCTTGATCAAATGTTCCTTTCATCAATTCAGAATTAACTTGATCATTGTGTTCAAACCAACGAGGTGGATCAGCTTCAGGTTCTTGAACTTTTAGTCGGAAAAAGAAAATTCTAATAACATCACGAATAATATTCGCTACCATGCTATTCAATTTTGTTGCTTTTCCAGAATCATTTACTGTTCGAAAGCTATTCATCTTTTCAATAAGTTGTTGTTGAATATCATTAATGAATGGGTGCTCCGCATCTTCGGATAAAATTTTGGAAAATCCACGGTTTCCAAGAACTGCATAGATTTGCTGACGGAGTTTGACAGGCAATGCTTTGGTTACATCATCATCACCTTCCCGAAAATTAGCAAAATTTTTCATTTTATTTATTAAATTGTTTGCTTCAAATACTATACAAGTTTCGAGTAATCTTTCATTTATATTTTCGCCTTCATTCTTTGTTAATTGAAAATATTCGTGGGTTAATTTTAAGATTGTTTCGAGAACACATCGCTGAAGTGCTGCCTTGAGAAGTGATTTAAAGTTTTCCTCATCCGTGAATTTGGTACATCCATATTGCTGCAAAAGGTTCTTTGCTTCCGTCTCATTAATGTCTATGCCAGGTTTGACTATGCAGAAATCTTTTATGTTTTTTTGCAAATATGTAATGTCTTCTTTAAGTTGAACCGAATTGTTACAATCATCGTCACTCAGTCGAAAATTTGTTGCTCTACCCAAGGCGGATTGATGCCTTGAGGCCTCATTTTTCAAATCTTCGATAGTTTTATGAAGATTTGATAATTCGTTGTCTCTTGTTTCGAGATCTTTGTCTTTTGTTTCGAGGTCTTTACGAACATTTGATATTTCGTCATTTTTTGTTTCGAGATCTTTACGAAGGCTTGATATATCGTTGTCTCTTGCTTCGATATCTTTACGAAGGCTTAATATTTCGTTGTCTTTTGCTTCGAGATCTTTATGAAGGCTTGATATTTCGTTGTCTCTTGCCTCGAGATCTTTACGAAGGTTTGATATTTCGTTGTCTCTTGCTTCGAAATCTTTACGAACATTTGATATTTCGTTGTCTCTTGTTTCGAGACCGTTACGAAGATTTGATATTTCGTTGTCTCTTGCTTCAAGATCCTTACGAATATTTGATATTTCATTTTCTCTTACTTCAAGATCTTTACGAATATTTGATATTTCGTAATCTTTTGCTTC